GGGGGTTTGAAATGGCAGCTTGGCATGCGACCACCCGGACGGGAGCATCTCGGCCGCGGCTCTCTGGTCTATTGGTGGGCAGGGAACCCTGCAGGCTGTCCATGTAGGCGTCCCACTATCTCCGAAACGCGAGTCCGATGAAGACGGCCGAAGCTGTAGGGGCCGTAGCTCCGAGTCGTGGCGTGACTAGTTTTAGACACAAACCCTTTTTCCGAGACGGCGGGTTGCCGGTGTGTTGGGAACCCCCGGCTCGGATCTGGCCTCGGCAAACAGCGAGATATTAAGCGCCAGCATGCTACTACTTGGTGCCGCTGTAAAATAGCCTCTGCAAGGCATATGACGTAAGATCGACTCTGGCTTCGTAAGGCAGCTCGAAGCCAGAGATGATATCGACGTGGACGATGGACATTGGCCGCTGACGAAGCCGCTGCACAGCCTCCGGCGCGACACTGCACCCTTGAATTGTTGCGTCTTTGCTATGCACTGCTCAGATTGATGCAGGCCACGCTCATCGACACCGATACCGAGGCACCTGCCGACATATCCCCCGTCGACGCAGACTCCTGCATTTCGGGGCTCCTTGGCTTCGGTCTGGACTGAGGGAAGGGAAGAGCAAGGTCCTCGAGGCGACGCAGGCCTCACGAGAGGTATTCGGGGTAGCACAGTTTGCGACGGCGCACATTTAGTGCGAGTGCTATTACCAATTCAATGGGCGTCCCGGACGACCGACGCAATGGGGGGCAGGCCATGTGGGATGTACCGACCGGCCAGAAGGAGAGCCGAGGCTCTGATGACATCGGCATTGTCCATCCGACGCTGCCAACGTTGGAGCGGGAGAGCCCGCCCCCCCCCCCCCCCCCCCAAACCAGACAACGTCCACCAAAGCCTTGCCCGCACCGCCCTTATCCCAGACTAGACAGCACAGCTCTAGCGAATCTTCTGCTCCGCACTCGTGTCCTCCATCCGACTGACGCCCACGATCGTCTTCTCGCGCCAGTACCACGTGCCCGCGTACATGGCTCCGGGGCCCAGCAGCACCAGCGACAGCGGCACAGCCACGGCCGTGCGGCAGGCCTCGGCCATCGCGACGTAATCGACCCGCCGCATCTCGAACATGCTCCAGAGGCACCAGGCCAGCAGCGTGACGGTGTAAATAAGCACGTCCCACTTGAAGATGCAGTGGCGACGCGATACGGAGGCTGGCATCGACTCTGACTTCAGGCCTCGAATTTCTAACTCCGCCCTTCCAGATTTGGAAGAGGAGACTGAGGAGTGGGAAGTAAAGGACGTGGTCGATATGCAAAAGCAAAACGGATTTCGCTTTTTCCTGGTAAAATGGGCAGGCTGGCCGGCCGAGTACAATACGTGGGAACCAGAGGAGCGCTTTGACAACGTACACAAGCTTGTTAAGGGCTACCTGAAAAAGAAACGCAAAACGCATCGTAAGTGGGATGACCCTCTAGCAGAACAGGCGAGGTAAAAGTACATAACAACGTGGGTTGTCCACCATCATTCGGCATTAGAAGACCAGACCTCGGAAGAAGAAGGGTTATCACTTTCACTCTTTCCCTCCCCTTCCGCTACCTCTTCCGAAAAGTCCGCCACGGGCGTCACCGACACGTTGGTACCGTTGGGACGGACCATGCACACCCACCGCTGGCCCCACTGGTCCGTATAATCCACACGGGTAAGGTGATCGTTCCAGCCCATCTCCTCATCCGAATCGCCATCCGACTCGGGCTCCGAATCGGAGTCGCCACGGGACGCCGGTCCCTTTGCCTCCACCCAAGGAGCCGCCGTTGGAATGTCGACGCCATCCCGAGTCGATAGTATGAGCCAGAAAGCCACGGGCCGAGGCCGAGAATTCTCCTCGTTGCAAACCGAGCGGCGCAGTCGAAGAGGAGGCTGGCTCAGGTTAGCCAGCATCCGGTTAACCTCCCCGAGCTCCGCGAAGGTCGCATGGTTGTTGAACACACGGTGGAAATGACGAGATTCCTCGCCTTCGGCGACCAAGTTGGCCGCCCGAACTTCCCAGAGCAGTGCTGAGGCGAAGGAAGGAAGTACTCGTAGTGATCGAGAGTCCAAGGAAAAAGACAGTCGTCGATAGCCGAGGGAACCAGGACAGCGGCGCCGGATTCGGAGCGACCCCCTTCGTTAGCCTCATAGAAGAGGCCGTATCGAGCGGCAGGATGAGTGGTGACAGAAGCGCTATGGAGGTTCTCCCACAAGAAGAGGTTGTACATGCATCGGGTCCGAACTGCAGCGACCTCAGGAGACGGTCTACCACCACGAACCCACCACACAGACTCCATAAGTCCAACGTCCGCATTGAAGGGATACCCACGGGGCAAAGGACGACATTGCCGCAAGGGAACAGGCGCCGATCGTCGTGGAAGTCCGGAATGCCAGCGATATGGATGTCCGGCTCCGACCGGCGGTCCTCCTCCGCGAGCAGGCGCATAAGATTTTCGAGCCCGCGGAGAGAAAAATTCAAACCCCGAGGCCGAAGCGGCACAGGCACAGCACGAAATGCACGACAAAAAGGTCGAGGTTGTCACGGCCAGTAGGGCCCTCGGAGACCCGCAGTCCTTATCCAGATAAGGGGCGAGCCCCACCAAGTAGGCCCACACGGAATTGGGCATATCCATATCCCAATTCTGTGCAGGCCGGGCCCTCCCTCTCTTCAATCAACGAATCTACTCTACTGCTCACGTTTACTTTGCCTGCCTTGACAGCTCTGATAAATTCCCACAGGATCTCGGGATACTTTTGGAGCAAAGTTTTCCAGGTTCGATACTGTCGGCTCACGATCCGGCAAGCGACGATCCCTGCTTCCCCCCCGCCAGCGGATGCGATAGCCTCTAGCCTTGCCCCGTTCCCTTATGCAAACCCGGCAGAAATATTCGTCGTATGCCCCTTGGGAGGCAGGGACTGGTAGATCCCGATTTACAGATGTTAAGAGCGACGGCTTCGAGCGCAAGCATATCAAACTCGCATATGCCATATTCTGCCTGCCCGACTGCTACGGTTGTCTCCGGGCTTCCTGCCCTTATCCGTCTCGTAAATAAAAGCGACCAGAAAAAAACGGCACTCCTCCGTAATTCCCTGCCACTTTCTGGGAGGCGCGGCCGGCGTCGACGACTAGACCGATCGCACTGGAGCCGGAGGAGATGATGGCGTCTTTAACGTCCTGTCGGGCCTGGTCATTGTTGTCGGCCACTGTGGGCTTAAGAAGGGCGAGCGGCGGTGGTAATCGTGCGGCGTCCTTATATTGTTGACGGCGAAGTGTCAAAACTGTCTACGTCCTGGGAGGGAGGAGTGAACACTGGGGGAATCGGACGGGTTGCGTGGTTCTGCTGCCGCGGTGCTGGTAGAGCAATGCCTAAATCTTCTAGTCCGAACGGCGGGGACTACTGGGGCGCTTTATTTACATCGCTTAGCAGATGGACGGATAGAGTTCAGCCAATCATATTAACCTTGGAATTTTTCCGGATCCTTCCTTCACCGTCTTGCGTGCAGGCCCCGCCTCTTTGCCTGAGTCCGAGGGCCTGGACAAAGCTCGCTTTGCACAACCCGCAACGCGAGGCTCTAAGTGGAAGGTGGAATGGAGAGGACTGCATCATGATGTAGGGGGCTTGACTAAACATGTAGATCACAGTACAGATACCTAGGCAGGTATCAACAAGACCAATGTGCAATAATGACGGCGACAAAGGTTGTCTTCTCCACGACAGCCAGAAGACGGGCCATTGAACGCTTATAAAAGGGGCCACCCGCTCATCTATTGTGATACTGAACTGTCTTCTATCCTTACCTCCATCCCCAAGTAGCCCAGCCCTCCCTGACTCTTCCCGGCCACTCCATCAAACTCTTCCATCCGTCAAGATGCAGTTCCGCAACGCCCTCCTCGGTGGCGTCCTCGCCTCGTCGGCCTCGGCCATCGACATCCGCTTCCACAACGGCGGCAGCTGCGCGGGCGCCGCCCAGAACTACGCCAACGTCAACCCCAATATCTGCTGCCTCGGCGACTCGGCCTCGGTCGCGATCGCAGCCATCCCCACAAACTGGGCCATCAATGTCCAGGGCTACTCGGGTGGCGGCTGCGGCTCGCCCAAGTGGTCGGGCGAGGCGCGCAACACAAACTTTTACTGCATGTCCGCTAACAGCAGGCCCAACTACTCGGGCGCCTTCTACTACTTCCCCGGCCGCAAGCGGGGCGACGAGGTTGCCGACAGCCAGTGCAAGGGCCAGCTAGGCAAGCCCGACGGCATCCTGCTCGCGGACGGCGTGACCGAGTACAATGTCACTTCGCTGCCAGAGGCCGAGGTTGAGAGCCTGGTAAGTCCATCCTCCATTTCGCCGGGGATTAGATGCAGGACAAGCAAAAACTGACAGCTGTTGGAAACTATCAGTGGGCTCTTGCATCCAGCGGAGTCGGTCCTGAGGGCATGCCCGCTTACCTCGAGGCTCACCGCCGCAAGTAGATCAAGCCAGCCGTCGCACTGAGTTGACACAATGCAAACCCTCACCAAGGTTATGCAGAGGGAGGGGGTGAGGCGGACGAAAAGTGTACCGCCACCGTTTGGAGACATGACTTTCTTGTTCTTTGGGTTCGCTTATTGGTATTGTTCTGGTATGAAGTTAATACCAGGCAACAAAACGCAGCCCCTGTGGTCATGAACGTGTTCAGGCCTTTTAGATATAACGTAGTCCACAAGCGAGTCGCGCATTTCCAAATGCGACGCGTGTTTCCCATTCCAACTCCAATTCCTCAACAACCACAAATGGAATCGACATCCAAAGAAGCTAGGATTGTTCTAGCCATGCAGGCAATCCAATCCAATCGGGGTCTGAGTCTGCGTAAGGCAGCTAAGATCTACGATGTTCCGGAATCCACAATGCGCGATCGGCGCGCCGGCCGACCTGCTCGACGCGACAGCATGCCCAACTTTCGGAAATTGACGGAATCCGAAGAGGAGGCGCTTGTTAAATACATACTCGAGCTGGATTTTCGCGCATTTCCTCCCCGGCATTTTGGTGTTGAAGATATGGCCAATCGATTGCTCGCCGAACGCGACGCGGGCGCCGTCGGCAAGAACTGGGTCGCGAACTTTGTTAAGCGCCGCGCAGAGCTCGGTATGCGTTGGATTCGAAAGTACGACTACCAGAGGGCCAAATGCGAAGATCCCAAGCTCGTTTCTGCGTGGTTCGACCTTGTGCGGAATACTGTGGCCAAATATGGCATCCTGGATAACGACATCTACAATTTCGACGAAACCGGCTTCCTTATGGGCATAATCGTTGCCGCCATGGTTATTACAACATTAAAAGGCCGTGGCAAAGCAAAGCTGGTCCAGCCTGGCAACCGGGAATGGGCTACGGTCATCCAAGGGGTTAACTGTTGCGGCTAGGCGATCCCTCCTTTCATTATCGTTAAGGGGCAATACTGTTATGGCGTGGCGTGAGTCGGGCTGACTCAGCCGTGCACGTGCCGCACTGACTGCCGTCCAAGTGCGGGCACGAGCACCTCCACTTTGTAAATTCCCTCGTTCTCTCTCCATCTTCAATTCTAAGGTCTACTTGGTAGATTACATGGTTCCGTTGTGCCGGTCCGTGACAAATACCACCTGGCCAATTGGTACTCGGAAACCGGCCTTCCACGCGATTGGGTCATTTCAACGAGTGCTAACTGGTAGACTACGAACGAGCTCGGCCTAAAATGGATTTAGCATTTCGAAAGGCACACTGCATCGCGCACAAAAGGCGCCCATCGTCTGTTAGTGCTAGACGGCCACGAGAGCCACCACTCGACGGATTTCGAACTTTACTGCCAGGAACATAACATCATTACGCTTTGTATGCCTCCGCATTCGTTTCACTTCCTTTAGCCACTTAACGTTAGGTGCTTTAGCCCGTTGAAAAAGGCGTACGGTCGACAAATCGAAGGCCTGATAAAGTTGCACGTTAGCCACGTAACCAAGGTCGAGTTCCTTTCGGCGTTTAAAACGGCATTCTTTAACTTTATGACTGAAGGAAACATCCGAAAAGGCTTCCGAGGGGCTGGCCTTGCTCCTTTCAATCCGGATTCGGTTCTGGAAAAGCTGGATGTAAGGTTACGGACTCCAACTCCCCTGAAAGAGCCCCTGAGCGACGCCGAACCTTGGACCTCCAAAACGCCCCAGACAGCCAGGGACGCAACTTCGCAGTCCGAACACATCAAAACTCGGATCTCCAATCACCGGAACAGCTCTCCGTCACCCATGCTATCGGCTGTGGACCAATTGACGAAAGGGGCCAGGGCAATTATGCATCGGGTCAACCTTTTAGAGGAAAAGTGCTCCAAGCTACGAAAGGCGAACGAGGCGCTAAGCAAACGCCGGAGGGCCAAAAAAACACGTGTCCGACAAGGAGGGTTACATACTGTCGAAAAGATACGAGGTGTTTTGGATCAGGAGGAGCTGGATGGACAGCTACAGCAAAAAATGCGCGACCATGGGGGTTAGGAAAGGAGGGCGACGACGACTCGTCGGCGATATGGCACGTGCGGCAAAACCGGACACAATGCGCGCACCTGTCAGGAAGAAGTAGAAATGTCCGATATATACAGTTCCGAATAGTTTGAATGGATTCCTGGCATTGTTCGGTTGGCATGCGCGTCGATTAACCGGAGGTCGGGTGTGGGTGCGCGACTCGCTTATGTGCGCGACTCGCTTATGTGCGCGACTCGCTTGTGGACTACGTTATTCGGGTTACTTGTGCGGGCTAAAAGCGCCTCGCACGAGTATTTCTTATTTTATTAACTAGTTTATTACATCGCTGGAAATATATTACACAGTTGAAAAATGCACGCATAATTACTGTGACGGCCCGGGCAGCTCACCGCACAGCGCAGGGATCCACGTGAGCACGCGCCGCGGAACAGCCCGTGCGACAAGACGCCGCACCACCTTTTCTTCTGCATCGCGTGTTCGGCGCTCCGCGCCTCTTTCCCTTTTCCCTCCCCATAGAAGAGTCTTTCGTCCATAGCATCAATTGAACCTGGCTGCGAAGCCTACT